GCTCCGGCTCCGGCGTGCGCCGCCGCCTTCGCCCCTCACGGTACTTACGGTACGTAATGACGCACTTCAGTGCCTCCTGCCTTGTCGGCCACATGGGCAGCGGCATCGAGGGCACCCGCAGACAGTTTGCGGATGACAGCAGGATGAGTGGTGGGGTCGGCACGCCTGAGGGGTGGGATCCATCCAGAGGGACCTGGACAAGCTGGAGAGGTGGGTCCGTGTGAAGCCTCCCTAGGTTCAACAAGGCCAAGAGCAAGGTCCAGCTGCTGGGTCGGGGCAACCCCTATCAGCCCAGGTTGGGGGTGAAGAGCTGGAGAGCAGCCCTGCAGAGAAGGGCTTGGGAGTGCTGGGGGTGAGGAGCTGGCCCCGTGTGCTCACAGCCAGTGGCATACTGGGCTGCACCCCCAGCAACGTGAGTAGCAGGGCAGGGGGAGGATCCTGCCCCTCTGCTCCGCTCTGGGGAGACCCCCCTGCAGTGCTGGGGCAGCTCTGGAGTCCTCAGCACAGCAGAGACAGGGACCTGCTGGAGCAGGGCCAGAGGAGCCCCAGCAGTGACCCGAGGGTGGAACCCCTCTGCTGGGAGGCCAGCAGGAAAGAGCTGGGCTTGGTCAGGATGGAGAGGGGAAGGCTCCAGGCAGACCTCAGTGAAGCCTTCTTAAAGGGGGCCTACAGGAGAGCTGGGGAGGGCCTCTTTATCAGGGAGCATAGTGATAGTTTTAAACTGGAAGAGGGTATTTTATTACATAGTTGGAAGAAATTTTTTACTGTGAGGGTTGTCAGACACTGCAATTTCAACAGCTTGCCTAGGGAAGCTGTGGATGTCCCATCCCTGGAAGTGCTCAAGGCCAGGTTGGATGGGGCTTTGAACAATGCAGTCTAATGAGAGGTATCCCTGTCCTTGACAGGGGCATTAGAATGAGATTGTCTTTAAGGTTACTTCCAAACCAAACCATTGTAAGACTCTATAATTCTGTAATCATTAAAAATATACTCCCAGAGTGTATACTCAAATTATGCTAATCATTTTGCCCAACATATACACTGTTAAAACCTTCTAACAGAATATGAACTTGTAAAATAATATTTAATTTTTTTGGAAAATGTACAGATTTGACCAGCAGTTAAGATCTATATATTATACAGTGAGCCAGGCTACAGTTTTGAATGCGACAGCCATGTTCTAGAATAAAGATTTGGGTCTTACAGATGAAATGGCAATACAAGAAAGAAAAGAAACAATGTTTTATTTTTCTTGTGTTTGGGTTGAACAAGATTTATGACCAAAGTAGTACTGAAGAAAAAAAAAGTCTGAATGACAGAATTTTTGAAGTGGTTCCAACATACAGAACAGCCTATTTTAATGTAATATAAAATACTGCTATCCCATTTTTTTCCACATCAGGATTGTTGAAGTTAATGATCAAATGCTCTGCCAAAACTTCGTTTCTGACCTCTGCTTCTGAATCTGTTTCTGCCAGAGCCACCACGGCGTCCGCTCCTGGAACTTGAAAAGCTTCGGCCATTTCTTCCTTCACCTCCTCCTCCTCCTCGTTGTGATTCTACTAACTCAGGTAACTCAGTTGCCACACACAAACGCCACTGTTTTGAGTCTTCCCATCTTGCCTATTGAAAAAAGGGGATTTTTATAGTGTAACAAAACTTGTTGCCTGCAAAGATTAATCCAGCAGCAGTAACAAGGGGTGGATTGTTCCACACCACCACTCTTCCTAGTGCAAACATTTCAAGCTACAGATTTTTGGAGAAAGAATATTTTGAGGAAAGGAACACTCTGTGCTTGTTCTGTTAATTCCTTCAAAGCCATCCCTTCTGCCACTAGGAATGGCAGGATAGAGGCTACAGAATATTTTCTGCCTATCTCAGTCTAGCCAGTTTCATCTACAGTCTGCTGTAACCAGAAATTTCACTCAACGTACCTCTATTTCCTTTTGGTCTGCTGCAGGAATATCAAAGCACACACCCTAAAAAGAGAAAATTATTTTAATGGATACAAGTCTAGCCTTTTAATTGACTGCAATAAAAAAAGAGCTTACAAATCTGTATACTAGCACAAACGGGTTTAGATTTCAAAGTCTTTTTTAATAGAGATTTAAGATACTTCAGAATCTTTGAACATTGAGAGAGTTGCATCAATATGTCTCAAAACACCAATACTTGCACTTCCTTAATGTTTTCCTCAGATACACCCATTTTTCTTTCCTCTGCATAGCCAGTACTTCCAATTCACATTTTCTTGCTCCTTAATAATAAGCTTATAACCCTTTCCATCCTTAACTGTGTTCAATTGGCTTCTGCATTATTTTGTAAATTCTTTTCAAACTCAGAAGTTTTGGTCTATACTAAGAAATGTATGCACCCAGTAAACTGAGTATTTAGGTTCAGACTAAAAATCTGAAGTTAAACTACATGAATGATCAAGTACAATACATAATTAACGTTAAAATGCTACTCTTTGTCTGAGTGAGCAATCTGGGTACTGAGAATTACAAATCTGATGTATGGAAAACTATCCATAGTGTGCCACACAAATACAGAACAATGCTGCTATGAATAAAGAGACAGAGGCAAGGACAATAAAATAAACCTTATCAATTAGCACAGTATCAAACATCGTGCATGAAGGATGCATTAAGAAAAAATTTCAGAGATGGAAATAGTAAGAACAGTTCACTGATGTAAAGAAGTGTCCTCAAGTAAAATTTAAAATCAGAAGCGGCTGGCCAAAAAACTTTCTGAACTGTGTGAAATTGTCATGGTATAACATGCAGGTTATCTTTTACACAGAGATGGAACACAGAATACAAGATTTATTTTTTTTTTTAATAGTAATAAAAAAAAGTCTTTAAACTGTCATTCAAGTGTAGACTGTTCCTTGTTTTAAGCCTTCTAGTTCACCAAGTCTTTGTATCCTCAGTACTGCCATATAGACGTGCTGTGATTTTAATGCTCTGCTAAACTAAATGCCATCAACACCTGCCATTTACCTCTCTTTCCTGTTGGTAATTCCAAAAGGCACCCATTCCACCTGCACTCCTACCAGTCTTAATGCTTCCATACAAATCTCTACATAAAAGTTCACTGAAAATCTGCCTCCCAAGTGCTCCCTCAACTTGTCTTCAAACAGCTTTAGGATCTTTTTAGTTAGACTGTTGTTCTCCCCCCATCCCACACCACCTTAAACCACACAAAACTAGGGGAAAATAAACTGACTAGCTCTCTGTAACAACACATGGTATACGGTTTCTGATGGAAACTTCAACGTGGGCAGGAACGACATACACGTGTTAATGTACGCATGTGAAAGCACCAGAAAAAACAGCAGAAGGGATGAGAGAATGGCATGTGCTGACAGAACATGAATGAATTAAGTTATCAAGATCACAGTGTCTCTCTGCACAGTTTTACTGATGAGGGTATGTTGAGAAACAAGAAACACACACAAAGATGAAGCCAATCAACAGTAATGTCAGACAACTTGCAAAAGCAAGACATAAGCATTCTTTGTCCTCTATGTCACCACAAATAATCCTGGACTCACTATTTGATCATTTATTTTCACATCTGTGAAAACACATGCAAGTTCCGACAGGAGGAGAGTGAGGGGAGTAACTTTTGTTTAAAATAACTGTCTCACATCGAGCTTTGCTACCGTTGTTGCAATGCTGCTAAGCACTAGACCCAAAAAATAACTTTCCCTTTCAGGTATCAGAAGTAGGATGGGCATGTGCTATCAGAACTGACTGTCCTAAGACATCCTGTTCTATGTTTTGTCATTAAGGCACAGTTAGCACAGTTCACACATTTTACCTGTTCTGCTATCCCTACAGCCATGCTTTATATTGCATTCTACCACCTCCTTAGCATGGCAGTGGATCAGAGAGAGCCCAAGCCCTGATAGAACAGATCAAGGCCCTTCCTTCTACCAATCCTTATCAACAGAGCTCAGCAGCAAAGATACCAAAACCACTCACCATTTTCCCCTTGAGGAAACACATTCTGTTCACCTTCCTGTCCACATCGTCACCCAACAGTTCTCGCAGTCTTCGCCAAGCGTAGCTCATGTTGTTTATTTCTTCAGAGCAGCGCAGTATCATTGTAACAAATCCCTACAAAGTGGGAAATAGGGCACATTCAGTCAAGAGAATAAGCTTCAGCACATCTATCAGAAATAAGACATCTGCTAATTTACAGTTTATAGACTACTTTTTCAAGTGGATACCATTATGGAAGAGGAGGTGTACTTATAGCCACTATATTCTTGGTTTTAAATAAATTAATAGTTCCTAGTGGCTTAAGTACAGTTTCCATAAACAAAATCACAAGGAGACAAATTCTCCACTTAAACACCACAGGTACATTGGGGTTTTTTTCCAGTTTCAGGACAAATGTTAAGCCATGCACCCTTACCGCATCCGAGTTCAGCAGGGAACGCTGTTCAATGGAAGTAGCACCTGAAATATGGGCTAGGGCTGCAGCCAGAGCATTCACTGGTCCCTTTTCTTGTATTAGGAATCGAGCAGATTCTTTGAAATACTCAATAGCCCTCTGAGGAACAGAATCTAGACACCTAAGTAATTAAAGAAAAAAAGAAAAAAATTATACAGTAGTATTTACTAGGCTCTGTAATAGAAGAAATACAGCAATAGAAGACTTTAATAGTGCGCAGTTCAGAGACAGCTATGAGGAATCCAAACAGCCCTTCTGAACTAGGAAGATACAACAGGGCTTGAGTCACCAAACACACCTGATGGCATCTTTGCTGGAAGCTTTTATTATATCTGTTGCAGTAGGAACGCCAACACGCTTGAATGTAATGCCCTGAAATTTAAAAAGCAAAATAAGAGATGAAAGTTGCACACCATAAATAATTCCATTCTAAAGAAGCAGTATTGGACTCTGAAGAGACAAGTGTTTAAATCCATCACTTTTCTGCTTCTTTTCAACTTTTGTAGAGTGAAAATAATTTTCCCAATTTTTGTAAGTGAAAATTACAAGGTTGAGCTTACAGGGAAATGGGTAATGCTTAAAAGCCTTTTAAGTACCAAATCCGTTTAAATGATCCAATGACCTTTAACTGAAATGGTAATTTTGGCCAATTCTGGAGAAAAGAAAATCCTACAAGTTCTGAACTGCTAATTTTAGTCTGGTTTACTTGGATTTAACTACAGATTACACAGCCCTTCTAAATGGAAATTGAGTTTTACATGCCAAGACTAAACCATCTCATCCCAGCTGAACAACTGGTGAGAGAACTACCATATGGAACAGTGCACAAAGTGAAAAAATGGAAACAGTGGTAAAGCTACACAGAAGCAAACCACTGATCAGATGACATGCTGAACTGAAATCCTGCTGCCTTCTTGCTTCCACAGGTACAGTCTTACTGGCATTTTGGAAAAACACAGGCATGAGAAGCTGCAGTGTGCTCCCTACTCTGCAATAACTGACATGGTACCTGAACTCTGCAAGGTAACTGAACCTCAGCTAGGTGCTTTATAAGCTCTGTTCTGTAACTAAATTGTTAAACAAACCATGAAGACTTTATATGCTAGCCTCACATGTTACATTTGAGTGCTCTTGATTAGAAAAAGTATACTTTACCGCTTTTTGTTCCACGTATCTTAATTGATGTTCTTCTTTTCGCTGGTAAAAACAGATGCAGATCCCAGTCCGTCCAGCTCGGCCCGTGCGTCCAGAACGATGGATGTAGGACTCCACATCCTTCAAAATAAATAGCCTTATGACTTCTCTACTTTACTGTTATTTAATCAATTCATTTAATTCACATAATTTAGAAGAAGCTGTTACAGTTAAGCCCGAGCAATACACAGTAACTGCACCTGAGAATTAAATTTTAAAAACCTACTTTGTTTCACTAAAATCAAATTAATAAGCTTTTCCATAACCCTCCAAAAATCACAACTTCAAAGCCAGAACCATAAGCGTGGATCAGCTAAGTCTCGTTTTGCCATCACCATAGAGAATGAGACATTTTGAGTGTCTACCTCTCTAACAATCCCGCTTACTCTCCTGCACATTAACCTGAGTGTGATTACTGAAATATTAATAGCAAATTCACTGAAAAATTATCTGCTTTCTTCTAAACCCTCTTAACTTCAGCCAGTATTCTCACTGTTGGGGTTCCTTCCTCATATATACCCCTACTTAGTGAATCCTTCTTGCAAGACAAACAGCCTTTCTTCACTTCCCACTGCTTCCTACCTGTCCTCAACATCAGGAACAACTTCTTTCCTGTGAGGGTGATGGAGCACTGGACCAGAGTGCCCAGGAAGGCTGTGAAGTCTCCTTCTCTGGAGGAGAATGCCCAGAAAGGCTGTAAGTCTCCTTCTCTGGAGACTCTCAAAACCCACCTGGGTGGGTTCCTGTGTCATCTGCCCTTCATGAACCTGCTCTAGCAGGGAGGTTGGACCGTTCCTGTGTAATCTGCCCTTCATGAACCTGCTCTGGCAGGGAGGCTGGACAAGATGATCTCCAGAGGTCCCTTCCAACCCCTACACCAGGCTGTGCTTCTGTGATTCCTGACTTGCAATCACCATACACGGCCTTGAAGGGATAGGCTTTGAACAGCCTTAAAACATGCTAGGGACTGATCTACTCTGAAAAACACCTCTAAGAAACTACTTCTATATACCAGGACATTTCTTACCCTTCAGTGCAATGCTGATAAACTCCGTGGTGAATACCATCACCTGACAGCATATATTACTTGAAAAATAGACTCTGTATTATGACAAGATACTCGACATAACCATGTCCTCCTACCTTTGGTGGTGAACTTTGTACAACGAGGTCAACTTCAGGGATATCTAAACCACGGGCAGCAACATTGGTTGCAACCAGAACTTTAAATGAACCATTTCTAAAACCTTTCAGTGTGATCTCTCTTTGCTTCTGAGGAATGTCACCATGCAATGACTGGCAATCCTGAAAAACAGTATTATTATTGTAATAACATCCATGGTTGTGCTCCATTTTATGATCAGTTTTGAGTACAATATCTTGATATTTGTACAGATAATGTATGGCAAGATACAGAACTGAATTATCCGTTTATATTTTAAGTGGTTTACAATATTTACTTAGTACTTCTTATTTGTATACTTGTAAGACTTTTAGCAAAGGTAGGAAAACAGAATCACACTGTGTCTTATCTCTAACTCGAATTACTGTGACGTATGGAAACAACTATGCCCTAACCTGCCATCCACGCCATCTATGCAAGGCTCAGCTGTTTCAAAATAGTCATTGACATTTTCTCAGGCCTTTTTAGTATTCATTTAGACATTGTTCTGCCAATGACCAGGCCTAACAGGAACGACACAACCAGCAGGAAGAGAAACCAATACACAGACTGTATTGTAAGCAAAACCATCGTGACATGACTGACTGACGGGGTACAAACAAGTCAACCAGCTCGTATATAACTGACGCCACCCCCAACGATCCCACAGAAGGGATAACTCGGCCCACAACAGGTGGTATGAACAGAGAACCAAGGTTTCCCATGGTTGGCAAGGGAAACAGCCAGACCAGAAAGTTAAACAGACATCTTTTCCAAAACAGTGTCACTTCTTGATCCTCCTTAATATATTCACTTCCCATACTCCCAACTAAACGATTAAAATATAAGCAGTCCTAAAAAAAAATGATCTGCAGCCTCAAGGATAATTTGCTTTTAATCCCAACATTCTGAAAGTCCTTCTGTATCACAGCAATAACAACTATGAAGACCAAACATACAAAAGCTTTTTCCTCTACTTAATATTTCACATGTAAACAGAGAATAATTCTTTTTACAACACTAACACAATTGCTAGGGTCAGCACAGAATCCAAAATGCTATTCCAGTACCATGACCTGTTATCCTAGTAGTTCTCCAAGTCCACCGCCATTTTTTTAATCCAAGACAGTCCTCTCTACTGAAAAATTAATTCACAACTGCTTCATTTAATGTCAATGAGAACTCTTGTTTTAAGGAAAAATTCCTTCATAGCCCAGTATCTATTATTAGTGCAGCTTAGCCCTGAAGATTATAAGGCTGTAAACTTTCAACCTTTTTTTCAAACCTTTTTTTTTTTTAAAGGTTCTTTTTGGCATTTTGAATCTACCTGCCCACCTGCAAAAGCCACATCAAATGTCTCTCTAAAACTTACTCAGGACAGGTCTGGTATCAACATAGGGTTGATACATCTCTGACAGGTTTTGTTACTTAATACAGATGATAAAATACCTGTTTGATTGAAGCATTCAGGGCCAGTTCATTTGCCTCCTTTTTGGTCTCACAAAAGACAATGGTCCTCCCATGGCTGCCACTGTAGACCTGAATGACATCTCCAATAACAGCAGCTCTCTGAGACCAGTGACACTCTATTGCCAAATGCTAGGGACAAGAATTCCAGTGTTTAGCTTACATAAAACCACAAGATTCTTACTAATACATTTGAAACTGTAAAATCCAGAGATACTAAAGAGTGATACAGTTTCCTGATAGGCAAAATATGCTAACTCACATTCATGGAATATGCAAAATCCATAAGGCTCTTATGTCTACCACAATTAGTCTAACATTAAGTGAAATAATTACAGTTAGAGAGGAAAAAAGATGACAGTCTACAAATCACTTTTTTTAAAGCAAGGAAATGAAATCCAGACGTTAATACCATTTCTCTGGAGAACAGTCAGGGGTGCAAGATTTTCTCACAGTTCTAGCAACTAAAGCTTTATGTCAGGTAAATGAAACAAATAAACAGTGTGTGTAAAAAGCTTTCTTCGAGCACAAGATTAACACTCTTCCAATCCCACTGATACAAGTAAGATCAGTCTCCAGATGATCTGTCAAAGTAACTGCTAAGCAGTACTTAAGCAGAAACAATATCTTATCTTGTAAAGATAATTAATTCAGGCTTCTAGCATGTATGTATTGTATTCTTACTGCATAGCAAGCAAGCAAAGGCCTAGTGAGGTGTGATACTACAGGAAGTCTGAAAAAAATCTCCTGTATACAGTATAGCAGAATTTGACTGTGATGCCCATGGTGATTTAAAAGAGCCACGCTGATCTTAACATGTGCCTTTTGCTTACAACTTGGATAATTTCAGATACTGATTTTCTCTGAAAACCTACAAAACTAACTGAAACTGAATCCTCACTCTACCTGAGATATCTGTATGATAAATGGATGCTGTGAGAATACAGAGATCCTATACCTAGAAAGTCTGACTAGCTGTATTGTGCCTTAGGCTTAAAAAAATAATTCTCAAAACAACTTTCAGTGTCATTCTGATAATGTACCTTAGGATGGCATAACCATTTGTAGCATAAAGGAAAAGGCTCCAAAACATTCCACATTAGACAGATTACTCACTTCTACTGTTGTAGCAGCCTTTTGAGTTCTTTTCCCAATAAGGTCAATCTGTTCATATCTAGACTTCATGTATTTCTTAGCCACATCATAGACCCAATGTGGGCAAGTTGCAGAAAACAGTAGTGTCTGGGGATTGTCTTCAGAATCTTAAAACACAGAACAACGTTTCGCAAACTTCCTATGTATAATCTTACATGGGTTACTATGTTCATTACATGGGTTATTAAAAATGAGGTCAAATATCAACATATAAAATAAAGTAATTGGGCTTTTCAAATTTACACATTACCAACATGTGGTAAAAAAAAATACTCTAAAAAGCCTAAATATTTTCAAGGTTGGGAAAAAAGTTACAATGACCAAAAACCCAGTTGATTTTCAAGCAGTGAAAAAGGTTAAAAACTTCTCATTCTTTTTAACTGGAAGAAGTCCAACTTGTCAATAGGCATCAAAGAAAGTTACTTAAAGA